CTGCCTTTAAGAGAAAATACAATCATTTGAAAAGAGAGTGGAAAGGGAGGAAAGGGAGGAAAGAGAGACCTTAGCTTTCGATACCATAACACATACCATAGCTAGTGATACACAACTACTGGTCCTCCACTTCCACTCTCTTCTACTTTCCATTCATCCCTTTATATGAATGACACAAAAGTTGTGCCACAGATGTTGTCGTTTTGTAATATTATACTATAGCTTATTATTTAAAATTTTTATGTTTAAAGTACTAAACAAATTAAGTCAATGAAAACAATTGACTCTTGAAAATTATTTTTCACTTTTATTAACATAAACAGTAAATCGTGAAAAGTAAATTTGATTATAATATGAGATCTCATTTACATAATTCTACTTAATTTTTGATCACAATTTTGATTACTTAATACACAAATTTGTATTGAATGTCAGTTTTAGTGTATAAATGTGTGCAAAGTATTGAATGCATTAGAGAGCGCGCAAACAGTCGGCGCTCGGATATATGGATGTGAGGGATGAGAGAGAGAGAGAGAGAGAGATGTGTGACGCGATTGTTGTGTATGTGATGTGCAGTCTCTCTCTCTCTCTCTCTCTCTCTCCTTCTGTGCGAACACAACATTGCAAAAGAGTATTGAATGCATTTCAGTCGGCTTTCACTCTCTCAACGTCTCTCACAAGCAGTCAGTGTTTCTCCGGGTATCGCATCCCTTCCTCTGATGCCAATGAATCCAATGCTTTAATTCTGTATTTATCTTCACGTCTATAACTGTTTCATTGAAGTTAATGGAAACCACTTTTTAAAGACTTGATGACTAAAAACATGATCCCTAAGGCTATCCTTTATGTGATTACATAATGTGAATCTCAAGCAAACAAAACTTTATACACCATATATTGCTGTCATTACTCTAAACGAAAACTTTTGATTCTGCTTTCAGTAAATTTGTTATTTGTGTCGATATGTCTCTAATTGTTTGAATGAGTTGAACGCTTTGATAAATTGATTAATTTGTTGTTTTAAAAACACTAATTGTGTGATCGAAGCAATTGCTGTATATTACTCGAAAATGACTTTAGAAACCTATTATTAGTTTGATTTTGTTCAAAATGTGATTTACTTTTTTCCAAATCTAAAGTTCAGTCGGACTTTAAAAGATTTAATCAATTATTGAAGTCTGATGTTTGCTTTGGCATCACATCATAGCATCGAATGAAGTGCTATCAAAGTGTTGGCCAACAGTCCACTGGTGTCGGTAAGCGTCATATAATGTCATATAATTTATTTGCAAAGTATTTATTCACGTGTCGTTTGGATGCAAGTGATTGCTATTACTATAAGATATTATGAGCTATTGGTCTGACGGTAAGAGTTATTCGTGAACTGTTTAATATTCATTGAGTGCTGGTAACCAATTAAGTGATCCTTCAATGAGAACTGGATATACGGCATACTATACTAAATGTATGCCAGTATTTGCATATTCAAGATATTCACATAAGTGTTGCCAATGTTTTTCACGCATAATGTGTGCCGAGTTTCTTGTTAATTGAGACTCACATTTGATATTATATTTTGATTATATAAAACTCAAACTGTTTTAATAGCTTTAAAAGTTAATTAAAGCGCTCATTAGCTAATAGTTTATGCAATAATAAAACGCTTCAATTCTACGGCAAAAACTTTTTTCTCGATTTATATCTTATTTACTGTTCGTTCGGCTGTAAGACTCAGTTCTTTGTTCTAAACACTGATATAGTCTTTGATCTCTCTTTCCTCCCTTTCCTCCCTTTCCACTCTCTTTTCAAATGATTGTATTTTCTCTTAAAGGCAGAGCACATCACACATAGACAGCATCTCTACTGATATTGTATACTACAGTAGACTATAGCCAAACCAGTATAGTATTTACTGTAAGGCAAACACTTTTGTAGAGACATTAGTTATCCCGGTTTTAATGCATCCACTGATGCGATTGAGTCCAAAATGGCTTTTGTCTCCCAATTTGGATCTATTGGAGGCCTCTATCACGAGCCGACAACTGGTTCCTCACTAATAATATATTAGAGCTCCCGATGTCTGACAGTTAATTGAATGCCAACCAAATTCTTTGAGATGTTGAGTACAATATTTGTTTGAAGCCAATGACCACATGTTTGATCTCTTTGCTCAACGTTTATTTGTGTAGACATACCGACCCACTGCTTACACTAATCAATACAATAAACTTAGAAATTCTTTATAAATTTTAAGCTTCAAATAAAATTGTGGACAAAATTTATCTTCTTTTCAAATGGGATTACTATTGAAAACTTTGTGGTGTATTAACACAAAATTGATGCACTTAAACTTTTAATATATGTTTACAAGTTATAAAAAAATTATTAAAAATTTTATATCACATTAAAATGCTTCAAAATCGGGTTTTCTATTTAATACCTTTGTTAGTTGAATAATATTGAAGAGTTAGATTACTATCGTTGAATGAAGCAAATATTATTGACAGAAAGTATTAATCAATAACAAAAACTTCTTTAGGACTTCTGATCCATAGATTTATATTAATTCAGGATTTTTTTACTATTATATCAAAAAGTTTATTAACTATTATTTTAACTATCAGATTACTATTTATGAGATGCCGTTGTCTTAGCATTTTTGTCATACAATGTAGTCATCAAACTTAGACAATTTCTTCCTAAACATAAATTCAAAAAACTTCTTGTATTGACTTTAAATGAAACGAAAGCTTCGGGGGTGTCGTGAAGGAGACTCTTCTCAGTTATTCTCCAATAGTAGTAATGCATAACATATTAGATGTGTTGTGTGTCTGTCAAAGACATTGATTTTTTAAATTCAAAACTTCTCTCTATTTTCAGTTCAAATACAGTACATTATTATCTATTATTTTGTTGACCGGAATAGTGTTATAATAAAACTGAAAAATGATCGGTCACTAAATCATACTTAGAAACAATGAAATGAACTTTGATTGATATTAATATGAAAAAATGAAATTCTCGCATCAAAATTATTTACTTATTTTTCAAAATGCCATTTGAAATCTTTTTTACAATTTGATTAGCACTGAAATCGAGATTAATAAAATCTGATAATTAACAAAAAATCAAATTCAAAACTAAAACTAAGCAAAAATCTAATCAAAATAATAATGACTATAAGTCTCAAAGGATTTTTAACCTCCATTTGATGCTTAACTTAATTTTTAAAGGCATTAGTGGTTATATTATATAAATGTTTGTTTATTTTTTGCTTTGACTGCAATTCTATCCGTAAGATTGAAATTGAAGCACAAATATTAATGATTTTCGCTATAGTATGATATAAATCACTTTAGATTTTCAAAAAGTTTTTGTGCCTTTCTTTTAAAAAAGAGATTTAAAAGATTTTATTTTTAATGATTTTTGACCGGATTTGGGATAAGTTTATGCAAAATAGAGATTCAAAGTTTGAATTTAAGTTTTAGATTATGATAGTTTGCCTCAAAAAGATGACTATTTATTTAAGATATTTTAAAGAATATGTAATTAAGAACAAAATAATCATTTATATAATGAAGTTGTTGTAGTCCTGAGCTAAAGAAAGTATTATGATATCATAATAATTTAATGTTACAGAGTTTAATTTTGTATATTTAAAAATGACATTAAATTATACATTATATCAATACTGTATATATTTTATAATATATTTAAGCATATATGCATCATGTATTATTTATTTTATCAATTAATATTAAGATTATTTTTAAAAATTATATAAAATAATTTAATTATAGTTAATAATTGTTTCTAATTATAATTCTTTTAGACTAAGTTTCTAAAAGATAAAAAGTAACATTTTTACTCATATCTCTTGTCTCATACAATTAAAGACATATTAAAAATAAAAGTACTGTTTTATGTATTTCAAATTTTGTGTGTTTCAAGTAGTAAACTCTGTTTAATTCATTTAAGTTTTACTTTTAAAACATACACATCGATGCATGTTAGAAAACATTTAAATTTGGTTATTTTACTTATGGTACGGTATAGGTAGTGTATTGCAGGTATGTATGTTTTAAGGGGTCAAAACTCAAATGAATAAACAGATTTACTTCGAGTCTAACCTTTTAGTGAACAGAATATAAAGCATGATATGAATGGTGTGAACGCTCGCACGACTGACCACTTCTCAACTCATATCCAAATCCATGTGTTATTTAGAAACTTATACTCCGTTTACTTGACTCAATGAGACTCTCATACGTCTGTTTCACATAACTAACAAACATTTCAATGTTTTCTCTTCATCTGCTTTCACTACTCTTTTGGTACTCTCTTTGAGTTTGATTTCTTAGGTCTGAGTCTCACGTATTGAATGGTCTAAAGAGTTAAGAGTTTTGAGCATCAATTTTGGACATGACATACAGAGACACAATAGTCTGCACACTAGACATCATTAGGAGGCGTAGAAAATCAAATTTCTTCTTGTAATCACTGCTAATGAAGTGAAAGAGTTTGTCGGCTCTCTCTCTCTCTCTCTTTCTCTCTCAGAACTCTGTCTGTCTCTCTAATGCCATTTACAGAGCAATCGGTGTTTTGAGTCCTTGTTTTGCTTTTAACAACAAAGTTAAGAGTTTTTCAATTTAGAGGACTGTTAGCCTTAGTAGACTGTATTTTGTATAACACATACGAATATATCATATATTTTCCCATCACTTCCTTCCTTCGCAATACTTAAGCCATAAATAAAAAGTTTTAGCGATGAATATAAGCAAACATTTGCTGGTAATTCATGTGAGGACTCGTTTCCAAATAACTCAGACATCATTTGCTAACAAAACGCTTTGTGTTCACTAAAGTGATGGCCATTTCATTCCCTTTAGTTCACTAAAACTCTTATATAATTTTATATTAAACCCAAAAAACAATAACAAAATCCCAGAACAAGGGGCCAAACCGTTAGCGAATGATATTGTTTATAAGATTTCACTTCAATTGTATTGGATTTTTCAATAAATTAGTCACAAATACTTTGCAAATATTGATGTAAACGATGCAAACATTACTCATTTGTTTCCTTCACTCGCATTACATGTGATTTAAAGAAAGAATTGCAAAGAAATACAGTTTTCTGAGGCTTTTTCAAATATTTTCCTATTTTTGTTTTATTACTTAAAGCTTAAGTACAGCTGAATATAGTTATCGATTTGGTTCCCCAATGACTTGTTGTTAAAAAAACAGAGACTACCAATTTGGACATAACAGTGCCTACAATACCAGTGCTATATAGGCATGGGATGCAACTTTACAATTCCAGAACATAATAACCAAATAATCTGAGATTTGACTGAAATCATCAAATTTTAACAATCTTATATAGTCTCAAAATGATCAATATTTGTAGGATTATATACAGTTTAATAGTTTTAGTAGTAACACTAATATTTTTAAAACTTAATATATCTGAAACTTTTATAAACGATTCACTATCTTCTGATTATATCTTATTTTATGTTAAAATTACTTAAAATCTTTTTAGCAAAATGTACGACTTACCGTATACACTTATAATCTTAATAATAGATCTAATTAGGTTTTTATACAAAACCTAATTAACGATTATGAAAAAAGATAATTTGAGCAATATATAATTGTTGAGATATTGCATCTATAAATTCAGTCACAGAATTTGAATATTTTGGTAAATTCATAGCGTTAACAGACTCTCTCTCTCTCTCTCTCTCTCTCTCTCTCTCTCTCTCTCAATGAGGGAGTAGGGAGTGAACAGAGATTGTATGGAAAAGCAAACCATATATTGAAGAATTGATCGTTAGATCCATTACAACATATCTCTCACGAGAATATTATACTCATGTATTTATAGAGTTTATAAGCGCCGGCAGTTTTAAGATGAAAAACTCATATCTGGCTATCATTTAATTTATGACCCGTTCCTTAATTTCTTGTTATCTTATTATTGATTTATTCATTTTGTGATACATTGCAGACTGTGCCTCATTTGTTCGCAAAGTATTGGTTTGCATCATATGTCTGGCCTTTTGTTTGACACAACAGTCTATTAGTGGGGCGACAGACGACTCGACAAATGATCAATACTTTAAAGTGAAGCCCAAAGACGTGGAGGTTATTGAAGGTGTGTATCGACTGAATAGATAGCGATCTGTGTTTGTAATTGATTTGATCATCTGATTGTATGGCGTGTCAGGAGATGATGCGGAACTGGAGTGTCAAATCAGCGGTGATCCGGGTGTCGGTGCCATCAGAGCCAAAGTCCAGTGGGCAAAGGATGGCTTTTTATTGGGTAAGCCATATATTTTCACTCTCTTTAATGGCATAACTTATAGAATTACACAATAATTTCATTATATCTTTGCAATTCACTCGCGAGATATAAACGGCACAAAACTTTTTTATCTCATATATCACACAAAGTGTTTGCCATAACTTTATATTAATATAAGTTATTGTTTTACTTTAAATATGAACACATTTATAAACTTAAGCCTCTATTCGCCAAGTTTTGTTACGAACGGCTAATGATATAATTGTTTTGCTTTTTCATTGATTTTATCAACTCTTCTCAAAAGATATTTTGATTTCGGTTTTGAAAAATGTTTTCAACGAGTCTTTAGTTGTGATATAATTGCAATGATTCGCATCTAATTTAATAAGAAATGCCATTTATTTTTGTGTTCAATCATAAGATAGAAAAATGGTATTTTTGACACATAAAAGAAAAAAATATTATCAAATTGTACTCTATTTTAAAAGCAATTATTTGATTAAAGCTCAGATAATTTGAAATGTTTTGCTTTTAAAACAAAACCTTTTGGTCAAACCTTTGTTTGAATTGAGTAGAGACTTGAACATTTGAGTCAGGCTTTTGAGAAAATGAAATTAACTTTAAGGTTTAAACCATATCTTTAAAAATTTGTAATTAGAGAGAAGTCTTGAGACTTATTTCTCTGTATTTCAGATCTAAACCTATGAGGACTTCTAATTTATAAATCAAAAGTTATTTAATCATTTTATCTATGTATAATTGTAAATATATCAAATATTCAAATGTGAATTTCAGTTAAATTTTATTCAAATACATTAACATCTCAATAATTAAAAGCAATTATTTCAAAATGTTAACTATTATCCTGTAATAATCTTCTTTGAGTTCATATATTAAGTTAAATCTGTCCATTAGTTTTAAAATAATTCAAAATGTTTTGACTCAAAGGAATTATATAAATTTCGTTTAATTTAATATGTGCTGAATTTATATTTTATTTAATTATGCGAAATAATCTAATTTGAAATTAATTGTGAAATTGTATGAAAACCACAAAATCGTTATTTAACTAATTTTTGCACATTTATGAATTTGAAAGTTAGTGTTTAGTGTTTATAATGAAAACAATAAAAACTTCTAAACTGTTTACTGGAAGATAAGCTAAAAAGGGATGAAAATGATTAATGGACTCGACTTTCGCAATGAATTCATTGGCACTTTTCAGCGACATTTGAAAAGCACACAAATATTGTGCTTTAACTATAATGTTATACAAAATGATATCGTATTTGATCGCTGGTTGAGATATTTGCTGTCATTTCTATGAAATGGGAAAATATTAAAATAAAAATTAAATTGTAATCGAATTGTCAAAAGATTGTGAGACAAGATTGACATCACATTAACGACTCAAATAGTTTTCTCCGACAAAACAGTTTGCGTTTGCCTTCACTTTCTTCTAATACAACATTTCTTTTCAAATACTCGACACAAGTATTTAATAAATGAAAGAATTGTTTTCAAATCCTTTTTAGTGATAGTAGAGACCGAAACAAACACATTATACTTCGCGTGTTTATCTCCAAAAATCAAATTGAGTTTACATTAAAAACTAATTAATTATTTTTGCGGAAAATTCAATATTTTGTACTTCCAATGACTGACACTTTAATTATATATTCATTGGATGTTTTATTATTTTGCTTAGTTTTTGACTCAAATAATTTAAATTATGCAGAAACTTGTATGAAATCTATTTATATTGAATTTTATATAATAAATTGTATAATAAATTTATATTAATTTTAATGACTGTATATTAATATTGGTAACAATTTGTGGTATAATTTGTTGTATAAATATTTTATGTTTAATAAATTCTGTAGTTTATTTAAATGTAGCCTAGTAAAAAACGTATATTACCACCAATATCCTGTAGATTCTTGTGAAAACCTTTAGGTGACCAATACTTTGCACTAATGTTTTGATGGTTTTTCACATCAACATAACAGTACATTAAATGTACAGTAGTTTAGGTTTTAAGGGATCAATAAGCAAATAACTTAAACTCATATTGTAACAACAAAGATATTTGTAATACAGTATTAAATAAACAAGTTTTATGCTTTAAAAATATCTCATTTAATAACAACACAATAAATGTAGTCATTATAATGTACTTTGATATAGGTTAGTTTTATAGATTTAAAGTTATATTGAATGCGATTTAAGTGATAAAATTGAAGTGAAATATATTGCATTCATATTATATATCCATTTGTAATGTTCAGTAGACTAGAGATGGAAAGCTTTAAAGCGATTTTACAATTGAGGGCTAAAGTGAACTCACATCCAGACCCACAACACAATCCCTACATTTTTCAAGGAATTAAATTAACACGAAACTGCATTTTTCAAGTAAAATATCGGCTCAAATAGATTTCTATCGATCCAAATAATTGTATGTCTAATAATAAATTACTAATAAATTGCAATACTTTTTTAAAGAATTTCAACAAATAAATGATAAGCCTTTACAACCATTTTATATCAATTGTACTAACCATTGACATTTTATCATTTATAAAGTCATGTTATATTATATAAAATTTGTTACTGCCTCCAGATATTATGTTAAATTATAAATTATATAATACTTTATAATTATTATATTCTGAAAATAGTTTCATTTTGGGTTTATTATGTGTCAATTTGTAACATATTATAACATAAATTATTCAAACAATAAATCTTTTATAACACTACTGTATAACAAACATTGACTTAAATTAATGATTAAATTGCATGAAAAGATTTGATTTCCCCTAATATTTGCATTTTAAAAATCTTTTAAACAAACCACTCATTCAAAGATTAACTTTATTTATATGACAGACAAATGGTTGAAATATTAATGAGTTGATAGACATGTGATCATCATTTAATTGTTACCAAACATTGAATATAAGCCATAAATATGGAGAAGCAATCATATATTTGGTGGCAGTCATTGACACCACAGACAATGTTTTCTCCATTGAATGCAATTTATGATCACTTTATTCACTACTTTTCCCAAATGTTTTACCAAATAATAAATTTCATTTCAAAGAATTTCTCGCAAATGAATAGTTTTATATCTCTATAAAATCTATTGTTAACAGAATTAAAAGGAGAGATATTTCACTCGATTTACGATAACTATAGCAAGTATTTTGTGAATCCTATTGTGTATGCAATTTGCTCCAGACATCGCATTTTTTAATCGTTTTGTTTATTATTATGGGCTGAGTCTAATATTTTGCATAAAAACCTAATTTTACTGGTGAGAGATATTATTTTTTTAAATTCTTTATTAACTTATAAAATTCTAAATTCTAATTCATCTTGTATCAAAGTACTGAAATTACTTTTTAAAATATTCAAGTGTAGCTATCAAATATTATTATGCAATTTATTTATTTATAATTTTCAAATAACTAATAATAAAAAACTAATTTAAATTCTAATTACAAAATATTTGTTTTTTGAATAAATTATTTAAAGATATACAAAATATAAATTTGTCGAAAAACTACAATGAAAATGAAGTATCAATGGATTTAATATAAAATATTTATTTGATAAACACAGTATTAAATTTCGATTGACATCTAATTATAACCAAAAAGCATTACCTAATTAATAAGTGTTGAGAAGTTTGTGAACATTTATCATCATAACATTTAGGAGCTATTAATATCTATAAATACTTTGTTCAGTAATACAGTTAAACTTCATTAATTTTGATAAAAAGATTTTATTTAATAGAAAACAATTCTTATATAATACCCACCCATTAAATGGCACCCATACGTAAAACAAATTATTTGTTATGATTTAGGACGTGGGTCATTTATGTGTAAACAAAGCTCGCAATTAAAAGCAATCTATGATAGAATTGAGTCCATAATTTGTGATATTTATGTAGTGATTTGTGTTACCCATAAGTACACAACAAATGTAATTTCAGAAACTATCATAAAAGTGGTGTGTATTTCGATGTCCGGATAAATTGTATATTTCTGTGCATTTTGTGAGAATACCGTATATTCTTACGTTTTATTGACAATAAAGTAATAGTGGACTTGAAATGTGGGTGAAGTCGACGCAATTGCCTCCAATTCAGTGGTTTTCTTAGCATTTTATGATTACTATTAAATGAATGTTGATCTCAGAATTTAAGAGTTGTGTATAAAATCTATAAAATTTTTATATTATTATATACAAAAACTATTGGTAACGACATAGACAACTATGTAATTCTTAAGCAATATCTTATAACATAACAATAAAAATTTGTTTATATATAATAATTTTTTATAATTTGATTCTTATTTAAATTTTAATAAATAAAAATTTCTATGTTTTATACTTATACTAATTTTTTTAGTATTTTAGAAATATATCAAAAGACTTTAACTCTTTTCCACTTTAGACAAAATATTATAAACCCTTTTGTGTTGAATATTCTCTACATTTTTAGTCATTTATTTTTTTGTTATATTAGTATTATATAATATTATATTGTATTACTGCATTCAAGAATTTGTATTACATTTTTACTTTGCTTTAGAGCACAAATCAATATAAACTTCTTGTCATAATTTTGAATTGTATTAATGGTATTATTCTTTACTAGATCAACACAAATAAAAAGGCCTCGAATATAGTCCACAAGAATTTCAAGTCTTCGCGAATTGGATTAT